TGTCCACTCGCAGGGCATGGTGTGTCGCAGGGGCCTCCGCAGCGAGACGTTATGACAAGTTCCTGACTGTACCCCAATCCCCGAGTTCCGCCCGAAAGAATTGGCCGCTCAGAAAAGAGGGTAAACTCAACGACGCGCCCCGTGCTGGATATTCGGACGCATCCCTATCTAGGATCTAGGATGGACGCCCACCTCTTAGTAGATCTCCGAGTTTGGCCTCAAATGTTTGGTCCATTCGATCCCCCCACACAGTCGGGGATTGGGGTCGCCATACTCCCGTTCACGACCACGACAACGACAGCGACGACCGTGGATGGAAGAACGAACACCGGCATGCACATACACTTTCGGAGCTCCGCGCAGATTTTTTGGATTGGCGCCAGGGCCTCCCTGGGGGCGCCTCCGGCGCCGCCCCTGGCGGCTCCACGCGCAAGGGAAGGGGGGTCCAGCGCAGGTCCAAGAAGTCCGCGCGGACCGTCGACAGTTTATGTTTATTTGGTTTTCCACCATGACAGCGACATCGACGATGCTGGTCGTCGTTGTCTTCGTAGTGGTGGTGAGGGTGGTCGCCGTGTTCGCTGTAGTGGAAGTGGTGAGAGTCGTCGGATGGTGGAGGAGGAGGAGGAGGTGGGGGAAGAGGCGGAGGAGGCGGAGGAGGACGAGGAGGACGAGGAGAAGGAAGAAGAGGAGGAGGAGGTGGAGGAGGAGGAGGAGGAGGAGGCGGAGGAGGAAGAGGAAGAGGAGGAGGCGGAGGAGGATGAGGAGGAAGAGGACGAGGAGGACGAGGGGGGCGAGGAGGATCGAGGAGGACGAGGAGCGGGAGGAGGACGAGGAGGAGGAGGACGAGGAGGAGGCTGAGGAGAAGGAGGAGGAGGAGGACAACGACGAGGAGGAGGAGGAGGCGGCGGAGGAGGAGGAGGAGGAGGCGGAGGAGGCCGAGGAGCAGGAGGAGGAGGCGGAGGCGGATGCGGAGGCGGAGGAGGAGTTGGAGGAGGAGGAGGAGGAGAAATATATGAAGAAGACGAATCCGAAGAAGACGAATGCGAATCATAATGTGAATCACAAGAACAATACTAATCATACGACTAATAAGAGTAAGAAAGGTAAACTTACAGACAAATATTCAGACGAGTCGTAATACAACATAATACTAATATGCATACTTCGAAGAAGAACACACATACCAATACTAAGCAGGCTAAGAAGACGATACATAATTCTCAAATTAAAGAAGAGGAGGCGGAGGAGGCGGAGGATGAGGAGGAGGATGAGGAGGATGAGGAGGACGAGGAGGACGAGGAGGACGAGGAGGACGAGGAGGACGAGGAGGAGGAGGCGGAGGAGGAGGAGGAAGCGGAGGGGGAGGAGGCGGAGGAGGAAGAGGAGGAGGAGGAGTAGGACAATGAGGAGGAGGAGGAGGAGGAGGAGAAGGACGAGGAGGAGGCGGAGGCGGAGGCGGAAGAGGAGGAGGAGGAGGATGTGGAGGAGGAGGCGGAGGCGGAGGTGGAGGAGGAGGAAGAAGAAGACGAATACGACGAAGACGAAGACGTACAATACTAATATTGAGAATGCTAAGAAACATGACTTTATGAATCATGTAAATTCGAAAAATAATGATGATAATATTAGACGAATTTGAAGACGAATACTAAGATGAAGACAACTAAGAAGGCGAAACACAGTAATCCGAAAACTAAGCATAATGATAATACGAATGCGAACGATAATACTTATAACACTAGTACTAATAGCAATACCAATCATAATACGAATAATATTGATAATATCAATATGAGGAGGAGGCGGAGGAGGAGAAGGAGGAGGAGGAGGAGCAGGAGCAGGAGCAGGAGCAGGAGCAGGAGCAGGAGGAGGCGGAGGAGTCTTATGGACGGCTTTGCAGGGTGGACTCGGAGGAGGGTGATAAGGAGGGGGGGAATGAGAAGGAGGACGTGTCGTCATCCCAGGATGGGCATGGGAGCGGCTCATGGGGGGAACCGCCCTTCCTCCAGGAAGGACGGGAGGGAAGGGAGGGGGAGTGGAGGGACGACGACGTGGAGGGAGGATGGAGGGCGAACGACGAGGACAAGGGCGCGGAGGACGTGGTGCCACGGGCGGCGGCGTCACCCGCCGCCGAAGCCGTCGCCCGTCGCTCGTTGCCCGTTGCCCGCCGCCGGCCGTCGTTGCCGCCCGCCGCTGCCGCCTCGCGGCGGCGCCGTCCTCCGTCGCCCGTCGCCCGTCGCCCGCCGCGCCGCTGCCGCGGCAGCCGCCACCCGCAAAAGGTCGCGCCCGGGGTCGCCGCGGCCGCGGGCGGCGGCTGCGCCTTGGCCGCGCCGGCGGCCTCCGTGGCGGCGGGCGCGCCGCCGCCGCCGCAGAGTAGCGGCTCCTCGCGGCAGCTGCCCGACCACGGGCGCGCGCGTGCCGCCGCCGCCGAAGCTCGCCGCCGCTCTTCGGCGTCGTCGGCGCCGCCGTTGGAGTGGCAGTCGTCGTCGGCGCCGCCGCCGTTGTCGTCGCCGTCGGCGTCGTAGGCGTCGCCATCGTCTTCGTGATTTTCGCTGCCACCGTCGTTGACGGCGCAGTCTGCGTCGTCGGCGTCGTGGTCGGCGTCGTGGTCGTGGTGATGGTCGCCGTCGTGGTCTTGGCCGTCGCCGTCGGCGTCGCCGCCGTTGTGCCGCCGTCGGCGTCGTAGGCGTCGCCATCGGCTTCGATGTTTTCGCCGCCGTCGTCGTTGTCGGCGCCGTCTGCGTCGTCGTCGTCGGCGTCGTGGTCGACGTCGTGGTGGTGGTGATGGTCGTCGTCGGCGTCGTGGACGTTGTCGCCAGCGGCGTCGTCGTCGTTGTTGCCGTGGCCGTCGGCGCCGTGGTCGAAACAGGATGAGGGTGGTGGGCGACGGCTGTATCGGAGTCCCGCGTGCCGATGCCGAGGCTTTTGCTGAGCACCACAGTCCGCCGTGGCGCTCCTTCTCCGCCAGCCCTCGGCCAAGAGAGGGGGAAGAGCAGTGACGCGGGCGGCCTCCCCCCCAGCGGCGCCGCAACCCCACGGGGAGCGGCAGGTACCACTTCCTGGGTGGCTGGGGGATACCAACGCGTTTGAAGCCAGCCGAGGGCAAAGTTTCAAACACGAAGGCATTTCCCAACCACCCCCGAGAGGAGGAGGGGAGGAAAGGACCAGGGTAGAGAGGGGGAGGAGGGAGAACAGGGGAGGGGAGGGTAGGCAGGAGGAGAGGGGCAGAGAGGGGGAGAGGGGGGAGGTACCCAGCGTCCGGGGGGGGGGGGGTGCTGCGGCCTCACCAGGGCGGCCTATCCTCGAAGAGGACTGCCCAGCCTGGCAGGGGACGCCCGCCACGGCAGGGAACTGTCCACAGCAACCTGGCCAGCTGCAGGCCACGGCCGCCTGGCATGCCTGAGGCCAAGACGCCTACAGGCAGCTCGCGTGAGCCCGCCAGCACGAAGGAAGTTCGAGGCAGCCTGGCCATCTACTGGCCCGGACCGCTGGAACGTGAACGGAGGATTTGATTGAGGCCTGACCTCCTTCGGGCCTGGTCCGCCTTGTTGGCCAGCTCCGCGCTAGCGGGAGAGCCAACGCGCTGATCTGCCGTAGACACGCCACAGGAGAAGGATGTGTGAGGTGGGCGGGCGGTGGGTGATCTTCGCATCGAGCACGACTCAGCGGACAGGCGGCACAGCTGCATCGAACCAGTCAGACTCTGCAGCGCACATGCTTACTCGCCCAATCACGATGTGGACTTGGACTGAGGAGGAGCCAATGCCGTGGACCATGGCCTCGTCGCCAGAGTCCTCATCCTTCGCGGTGGCGACGGCTGCATCGCCAGTGTTGGCGGACTCGTTGGCGGACTCGTTGGCGCGGCCGCCTGGCGCCCTCGCCTGGGGCGGCGCGCGGGGCGTCCCGCAGCGCCGCGGCATGGGCCCGGTGAGCGCTGCCGCCGCGGGGGCCCGCGCGCCCTGGCCGCGCGGCTCGCACGTCTCGGCCGGCACATGTGCCGCTCGCCCTGGTGGTGGCCGTGGAGGGGCGGCCCGTGCCAGCGGCCTTCCTCTCGCGGCCGAAGGGCAACGCGTAACCTCTGTAAGTTTTTTGTTTCGGGCCCCCCCTCTCCTTGTTTCCTTCGGCGGGGAACAAACTCGCCCCTCCCCCTCCCTCCTCCTCCTCCTCCTCCTCCGCCTCCTCCTCCTCCTCCTCGTCCTCCTCCTCCTCCTCGTCCTCCTCCTCCTCCTTCTCCTCCTTCTCCTCCTCCTCCTCCTCCTCCTCCTCCTCCTCCTCCTCTTCCTCCTCCTCCTCCTCCTCCCCCCTCCCTCGTCGTCGTCGTCGTCGTCGTCGTCGTCTTCGTCGTCGTCGCGGCGGATATTGTTTTCCCTTTCTTGTTGGGCGTGCTGGGTGATGTTGTGGTTTCTTTCCCAGGGGAGTCCACTTTGGGGTACCCTTCACACGAGAGGATAATTGAGCATCTTAGCGCGAGCATGGCAATAGGAATCAGTGAATGCGGTTGTAGTCGTGATTGTGGTCGTTGTTGTATTCGTGATTGTATCCACGATTGTAATCGTAAGTGTAGGCGTAATCGTAGTTATCGTCGTTGTCGTCGTCGCGGTGGACATTATTTTCCCACTAATGTTCGCCGCGCTGGATAATGTTAGGGGATCCTGTCTTCCAGGGAATAATGCTCTCTGGGCTACCCTGCACGACAGAGGAATTTCACGCTTGTAAGAGGATTGAACTCTACATCGGCACATTCTTCGCCGAAGGCGTTGCTCACAATCTCCTCTTTCATCTCGTCGTCGTCGCCGTTGCTGTGCTGCGGGAGCCGTGGACAAATAGTTTTTGTCCATTATTGGTGGAGCCCCAGTCCGCCCATACGAACGTCGAACATATAATTTGTTTCCATTCCGGTGGGGGCGTTGGTTGAGGAATGTGCCCAGGAGGCGCCAGACCCTGAAGGATTCCTTATCCAATGAGGGCGGCAGTGATATGCATGGCCGATCCACGATTGGAGTTCCACTGGCTTCCAGACCCTGAATTCCTCATCTAAGGGTTCCTTATCCCCACCGTTCGCAGCCATTTTGGCTCAAGCCATGTCCTGCTCGGGCGCATGCGCGGGCTGGAGTGCGATGGCGGCGGGGAGACGGCCCTCGAAGCGGCTGTCTGGAGAGATGTGGCGCCGCGTGGCGCAGCGCTGGGCAGCCCTCTCCCGCGAGAGGCTCGTGCAGCGACAGGCCGAGGAGCTCAAGGACGTACAGCTCCCAGCCCAGGCACCAGCAGAGATGCAGCGGCGCCTAGCGCTGGTGGAACCAGTGCTCATGGCTCAGCTGCGAGGTGAAGAAATCGAAGGGGACAGGGTGCTGGAGCGGAACGTTGGCTGCCACGCTCGCACCGTCCCCCGCCGAGGCGCGCCCGTGGGCGAGTGCCGGAGGGTGCAGCGCGGCCGGCGCCTTTCTGGGCCGGGCGCCCCTCGTGGAGACAGCACGGTGCTGGATGTGCAGGTATTGCCTGAGCTGGAGGCCGAGCGGCTGGCGCTTGGTGGTTCCTGCTGCAGTGGTGGCCAGCAGTGCGAGAGCCTCGACGGGATCGGCGTCGCGGTGCACGCGGAGGCTATGCAGTTTGGCGGCGTCCTGGTCGGCGAGGCGGGCTCGGGGCCTGAGGTCGTGCGTGAAACCTGCGACACCCAGGCCAGTGTCCTGCTCGGCGCCCCCGGTGCGTGGCCGTCGGACGCCGCCGAGGTGGAGTTCGGAGGCGCAGAGGTCCTCGGGGCTGGCGACCGCGGCGGCGCTGGACCTGCGCCTGGAACCTGGCACGCGGCGAGCCCATTCGCGGAGGCGAAGGCTTTCGCCGCAGGGTTCGCCGCGGGATGGAGCTGTGCTGAGCGCGACGCCGCACTGGCAGAGCGCGTCGGTGCCGCCTCGCAGACGGTTGAGGAGTCGGCGATGCTGGTGCGCCCGTGCGGCCTGCCTGGAGGTATGTCGGCAATCGGCTCCCAGGTTGTCGCCGTTGACGTTAACTCAGATGCCGAAGGGGTTGTCGACGGCGGAGTCGCTAGCGATGACGAGAGGTTGCTCTTCGCTGATGCGGAGGCGGGCACGGCCTGCTCCGCCGTAACGCAGCCGTTGCTCGGTGCGGCCGCCGCGGCGCACCTGAAGGCGCACCCCGCTGCGCTCTTCAGCAGGAGCAGGGGTCTGCACGAGGCCGGCCAGGTGCTGCAGGCCCCGGGCGCCGTCGTCCACGACGAGGCGGGCGCCGCGCTGGCGGTGGGCTCGTCGCTGAAGCGGTACCAGGAGGAGTCGCAGGGCATCGCCATCAAGATGGACATCGTCGGCGGCCTGGACGTCGGCGCCCAGCTCGGCGGCCTGGCGAACGAGAGCCAGCGCGAGGACTCGGAGGCTCCCGTCGCGCAACAGGAGGTCGAGGAGGCTTCCATTGACGACGACGGGAACAGGGTCAAGCAGGGCGCGCGGTGGGCCGTGTCTCGGGACCAGAGTTACTGGACATCGAGTTCGGGAGCGAGGCTGGCGACTGCGTCGGCGTGCCCGAGTGCGGGGAGGAGGCTTCGCTGGAGGCGGTGGAGCCCTGAGCCGGCGCCCCCGAGCACACGGTGCAGGTTGTCTTGCAGCTTGCCCCCGAGCACGCGGCAGCGGATGGGCGTTCTGAAGCCCGCTGCCGACTATCTGGCTGAGCTTGAGCACGGAGCCAGGGAGCGTCGCCTTAGTCCGCTGGGCGTCGAGGAGATCGAGTCGCTCTCTTTGGCGGGGGAGGCGGCTATCAGGGGCGCGATTGAGGCGGCTGGGGAGACCGGCTTTTTCGACGAGATGGGACACGCGGCCGCGGCTGAGGCGCTGCTTGACGCGCCAGGGGCCCCCGCCGGCGCAGCAGACTCACCGCGGCAACCCCGCGCGCGGGCGGGCGCTATGGGGCCGCGGCGGCGTGGCCTGCTCCGACGCAGTGTCGCAGCATTGGAACTGGTTCACTTGGCGGAGTGGCCCTGGCGCCCTAGGATGGCGAGCGTGAGCGGCCCACGCTCGCCGGCCGAGGCGGGAGGCGCCAGGGTTGCTGCGCGGTTGAGTGAGGGCGCCGCCGCGTTAGGCCACCGCCGCGCGCGGCGACTGCGTCGCATGCGCACTGCAGCGCGCCCCCGCCTGGTCTGCTGGTGGCGAACGCGCGCGGTCCACGCTCGCTGGGAGGTGGCGGACGGAGGGATCGCCGCGCGTGTGGCGCGAGGTGCGACCACCTCTTGCCCCGCCGGCCGGTTTTTCCTCAGCATCGGCTCGAAGAGAAAAAATGCCCCCGCCGCAATGGGGGTCGACAGGCTTATCGCGAACACGGGCGGCCGATCTCCACCGTCGGGTTGACGCGTCTGGCCGACGGGCAGAGGGTCATCGCCTACGGGCGGCTGAAGAGCACCGCCAGCAGCGCGCCGTAGAGCACCGCCGTCGCCTGGCTGAAGGTCATCGCGCACGGGTGGCCGAAGAGTTTCATTATCATGGCGCCCACATCGCAGAGCGGATTTCGTTTGGAAAACGACGGGGCGGGCCTGGGGCATCCTGGATGAATTTCGCGCAGTGTTTGTTCGGCCCGGAAAGCCCCGCCGTCGCCTGGCCGAAGAGCACCGCCAGAAAGCGGCTGCAGCGCATTGAATTCGAGTGGCGCATCCAATTGTGTCATTGTCTATGTTATGGGCCTCCTGAGGCGTGGATCTGAAGGAAGTCTCTGGAAGGAGCTTCGTCTTTGAGCGAGCTGCGCGGAAGTATTCGTCGGGGGCGCCGCCCCGCGGGGCCGCCGGGCAATGGCGCCCCTCCGAGCGGGCCATCCAGTCTGCATGCGCCGCCGCATTTGGCCCCTTGAGGCGCGAGTTTGGAAGAGGCCTCGAGCGGGGTCCCTGTCTTTGACTGGGGGGTGAGGAAGTCTCGGGCGGGGGCCGCCAGGTCGCGTTAGCAATCCGATCGGGACATCCAAGTCGTGTCATTGTCATCGACAGCTCGAGCGAAGGGTTCGTTCTTGCGTGACTGGTAAGGGGTCTCAGGCGGGGCCCCCGCCCACGTGGAGCCGCCGGATCACGTTGGGAACCCGGGCGGGTCGCCCAAATGAGAACAACAAATGTCTTCGTGTTTCGCCTTCTATGGCGTGGGCCCGGGGGATGTCTCGAGCGAGAGCCTCGTCTCTGATTGACTGGTGAAGGCGTCTCGGGCGGGCGCGCCCTTGCATGGGGCCGCCGGATCATGTTCGGAATCTGGACGGGTCACCCAAATCTTGTAGCGGTCGTCACTGCTGGCCTCATGAACAAATCTCGAGCGGGGCCTCGTCTTCGGCGGGGGGCGCCCCCTGCGCGGGGCCGCCGAGTCACTTTAGTAATGCGGGCGGGTCATCCGCGTCCCGCGATCGTCTTCGCTCTCGGCTTCCCGACGCGTGGGCCCGGGGGAAGTCTCGGGCGGGGGCCTCCGCAGATCGGTTGCTGCGCGAGGGGTGCACGCCGGGCCAGCTCCTTCGCCCCCGCTTCCGACTGCGTGGAAACAGAATGCAGGCGCGCGGCTTCGAGGGGCCCCGCCTGACCAGGAGGTCGCCGAGCTGCCGCCGCGGGGTGCCGAAAGCGTCGGCGACGACGGCCAGGCCGAGACGCAGGGCGGAGCTTGCTCATGTTCAGGTTCCATGAGCAGGAGCTCACGTTGCAGAGCTCGGGGTCGCGCGCCGCGCGTCGCTAGGGGTTTACCCTGGCGCGCGCGCGCGCCCTACCTGCCTCTTACACTGCCGCAGGATCAGACGCTGCACAAGGGCGCTGCCATCGACTGCGCCAGGGATGAAGACGCTGGCCGCGCGGGCCTGTCGCTCGAGCAGCGGTGGCCGCACCTCAACGTCATGTCTCCCGAGTCGCGCGCGCGCGCGGGACATGCCGATCCCGCGGCCGCCCTCGCGCGAGTTTCTGGAGCGCGGCCGCCGGCGCCCTTGCGGAAGGCGCTCGGGGATTTCGGCAAGAGAGCGGCGAGCTCCAGGGCTGAGGCCGAGCAACTCGCCGCAGAGCTCAGCTTCGCGCTGCCTCCCGCCAGAGCGCGGCCGCGCCCCGCTCGCAGCTCGCGGGCTTTTCTCTTCGGCTTGGTCTCGCGCGCCAGCGGCCCGCGGGCTTGCCTCGAAGACGTTGCTCGCGCGGTTTCGCGATCTGGCCGCCGGAGAACGCGCCGAGGAAAATCAACGAACGCGTTGTTGCGATAGGATTTGGGGAGGTGGCGGGGGGGGGGAATCCAGGATGGTGAGGAGGAGGCGAAACAAGGGGCCTGCGCAGGGTAAAAAGGGGAAGGTGCCGAGGCGACAGAATCAAACCTCCGCAATCACAGGAATGACGATGGGGATTGCTTCCGGACTAACCGAGAAGATTGTCATGTGGGGTCCTACCGTCGGGGTAGTGGTTTTTACGACGCGAGCATGTTTGGACATATGTGCGAGTTGTTTGAAACATCGTGCTCTGCCGCAGCTGGCGGGGGGGAACCAACAAAAACAGCGTCGTGGGAGGGGTGCGGGCGCCCCCCCCCCCCCTCTCCTTCCAGCAAGTTATTCGGGGGGTCCAGCCCCTCTCCCCCTTCGGTAAGATTATCCGATTATCCGGGGGTTCAGCACCACCACCCCTTCCGCCCCCCGACCCGGCGGCGACGACGACGTCGACGACGTCGCCGCCACCAGCAAAACACGCGCGACGCGCCGCCAGCAAACGACGCGGACGACAACGACGACGACGCACGACGACGCGCGACGCAGGATCGACGACGCACGACGCACGACGTCCACGACGACGACGCCGATGCCGGCGCCAGCGCCGACGCCGACGCCGACGCCGCCGACGACGACGACGACGTCGACGCCGACGACGAAGGCAATGACGACGACAAAAAAGACGAGCGGAGTGGGGCTGGCGTGTGTAAAAACATTGTAGGAGTGGGGTGCAGTAGGGTCGAGTCGAGTAGAGTAAAATGGGATACGGAAGGACGGCGTAGAGTATGGTAGAGTAGAATAGAATCCGGAGTTATAGGTCATTATATCGTAGATTAGAGTCGAGAAGCAAATTATTAATGTGTAGAGTGGAACAGCAGGAAAGTCGAGTAGGGCAGAGCAGAGCTGAAAAGAGTAGGGTGGGGTAGAGTAGGGATCGAATAGAACTCGTAGAGAAGAAGCAAGGTAGAGTAGTAGACCCGCGTGGAAAAATGTAGAGTAGAGTAGAGTAGAGTAGAGTAGAGTAGAGTAGAGTAGAGTAGAGAAGGGTAGGGTAGACTAGGGTAGACTACACTAGGGCCCTAGTAAGATTCTGGGAGCGCTGGAGCGAGACCTAGTGGCATGTTGAGCCAGCGCAGGGAGCGCCGCCGACAGGTGCACCGCCGCCGCCGCTGACGTTGTCGCCGTCGTCGGCGTCGCCGTAGGCGTCGCCGTCTTCGTCGCCGTCGTCGTCGTCGTCGTCGTCGTCGTCCGGCGGGGGGTGCGTTCCAGACCACCCGATTAATTTTCCGGGGGGGTGTTAGGGGGGGGCAGGTTAGGGGGGGGCCCCTTTGCGTCCGACCCCCCATTAATAGTTTGTGAGGGGCGGGGGTGTTTTGCCCCCCAGTTGTCTTGACCCTGTTTTTCCTGCCAGATCGGCGAGGAGCTTCATGCCCCAGGTCGCTGACGCCTCAGTCGGACTTCTTAGCGGTGGGACGATGGGCCCTGCCAGGGGGGCGCCCCGCGCGCGCGCTCGCAGACTTGGGCCCCTCGTGGCTCCAGAAGGCTGATGCTGATGGCGACAATGATGGTGATGATGATGCTGATGATGATGCTGATGATGCTGATGCTGATGCTGATGCTGATGCTGATGATGATGATGATGATGATGATGATGATGATGATGATGATGATGATGATGATGATGCTTATGATGGTGGAGCTGATAATGCTGATGATGCTTATGATGATGGTGTTGGCGATGATTGTGATGATGATGCTGCTGCTGATGCTGCTGCTGCTGCTGATGATGATGATGATGATGATGAAAATGATGATGATGATGGTAAGACTGGTGATGCTGATGATGATGAGGAGGAGGGGCAGGCGGAGGACTATAGCAGGAGGAGGAGGAAGAGGAGGAGGAGGAGGAGGAGGAGGAGGAGGCGAAGGAGCAGGAGGAGGATCACCGGTAGCTGGCCGGGCCGCAGCTCGAAGCCCCACCGAGGAGGTTCAGGAGAGAAGAGGACCAGTGTAGACCCAAGACTCACCAACGATATTCCAATGCACCCTTCCTCCAAGATCCTTCTTCAGCCCCGTAATTACGGGGATGTATTTTCCTTGAGGGAAGTGCCCCGTTGACAAAAACAACGCTTTGAACATTCCCCATTGTGCCAGAACGCCATTCCTGGGACTTCACCGCCGCGAATCACCGTAACTGTTGCGTCTTGACGATCCAGAGTCGTGCCAGAACACCGTTCCAACACCGCGAATCAACGTAACTGTTGCGCCCTGCCAGTCCGACATCGTGTCATAACATTGTTCGTTATGACGTTAACCAACATAATCCTTGAAACTGTTATGAATTCTCAAAACGAATGTGCGCGTCAAAACCGCCAGAGCACCACTTTGGAGAACAAGCCCTCCATCTGTGGAGCCCTTGACAATGTTTAAGACGAGTATGCGCGTCGCTCAGGAGAGAGCCACATGCTGAAAACCAACTGCCTTCCATCCGTGAAACCCGTGCATGTTTTAGTCGAGTGTGTGCGGCGGTAAAGCGAGAGCTACATTTTGCGCCACATCTCGTTCTCCACTCGTGAAGCTCTCGCTTTTGTTTGGTCAATGAATGTGCGCGGCATTAAGGCGAGAGCCACATCTTGAAAATGACCTGCCCTTCATCGGTGAATTTCTTACATGTTGTTTAACGGATGTGCGCGGCGCTAATGCGAGAGCCACATTTTGAAAGCAGCCCGCCCTCCATCCGGGGAATTGTTGCAAACTTTACGCTTCAGGATCGCACATTGTGAGGAATTCTCAGGCAACGCGCCCACTCCGCCCATTCCACCAGCCTTGCGGTTCGGTAGGGAGGAGTGGAATGGAGGAGGAGAAGGAGGAGTAGGAGGAGGAGGAGGAGGACGGCGAGGAAGAGGAACAGGAGGAGGAGGTGGAGGAGGAGGAGGAGGACCAGGAGGATCAGAAGGAGGAGAAGGAAAAGGAGGAGGAGGAGGAGGAGCAGTTGGACTGCGGGCGGCGGCGGCGGCGATGGCGAAGGCGACGAGTGCCCTCTGGTTCTCCCCCCGCCTCCAGATGTCCGACGATGTTTTCTTTTTTTTTGAGTGGCGTTTCGCTACAGGGTTCCAATCATGGTAAGAGAGGACCACAGAAGAGAAGAGTCACACAGGGGGGTCGGGGAGTCCGTGGACGCCAGGTCTGGCAGCCGTTTCGCCCGAGACTTCCTCACAATTCCCCAGGCAGTGCTTGCACTGAGGGGTTCTTGCGTGTGTTCCAGGGTAACTCGTCCCCGGTGGCGGTTCGGCCGGCTCGTCGTCGCCTGTCGCTGCTGTCGCCGCTGGGCTCCAGTGGCGGTCCAGCTGGCTCGTCGCCGCCCCTCGCCGCGTTGCTTGGCATTGCCTTGCGTTGATTCGAATTGCTTTGCGTTGCATCGCATTGGTTTGCGTTGCTTTCCCTTGCTTTGCGTTGCTTCGCGTTGCTTTGCACTGCTTCGCATTGGTTTGCAGCACGTTGCACCACCTGGATTGCACCACGTGGATTGCACCACCTGGATTGCTCCGCATAGATTGCAAGAACTCGCTGTTTGGGGTCCACGCTGGCTCACATGTATACAGGAACCGTGCTCGCGCCTCAATTCCGACTACATGTTTGGCCCGGACGGCCACGA